AATTGTGTTAACCTTTTTGTGTAATACTCTGTTTTATTTTAAACTTATATTAAAGATTTGGAAAATTACATCACAATCCTAATCAATCAGGGCAAAGCCACTGCTAATGAAAATAATACCAACAAACATTGTTTAATTTATCCTGTAGTCTCGATTCTGTATGCTGACTGCCAGGTGCAAAGGAGGGAGTTTATAATAATAATAATGATTGACCAGGTGCCCAGCTGCAGTATAAAGTGTTGTGGATTTCTACAGTGTTTTGTTTTTCCCACCTCACACCTCTCATACATTTCTAGTTAAATATAGGGATCAGGAAACATAATACTTCAATTATGTCTTTTGGACACTGGCAAGTGGCAACCTAACAAGTTAAGATTACGTACAGTGAGGATTTTCAGGATTCAGAAGTTTTACTACCAAAGATACATTTAATAAATATGGCCATCTACTTACTCCTCCGTTATCTTGGATTTTCTGAACAAGTGCCCGAGCCTGGAAGAAAGAGCGCTCATTTAAATAATATGCATACAAAGTTTTTTATTAACATTAAGTTCTGAAAATTGTTTTAAAAGCTTATTCCATTGAATCCCCACCCTCCACCCAATTTTCTCAATTGAAAATACACTGAAGCAAAAAAAAAAAAAGAAAAAAAAAAGACTGCAATACCCCCCCATCACCGTACCCCCATGATTGTATGTGCGGAAACGCTACTGGTTTAACATAAATAAGGCTCGGCAGCGAGTCAGCTCCACACGATCCCCCCAATATAGGATGTTCTCTGGGAGTGCGCTGGTTAGCCACCCAGCACATCCACGAGTATACTCTCAAAGGAGAGTACTTTGTATATACCTTATTTACATTGCTTATAATTATGTTTATTCCTTATGTTTTTTCTCACCCCCCACCCTCCCAAGTTTCTACTCATCCCACGATCAAGCTAACTTGCCACCGAATAGATCCCGGGTACACGACACTAGTGGTCACCACACTGATCCCACCTACATTGAATATATTTTTTGGAGCAGGTGTAATAGCAGCTCTTACTCTCAGATTACGCGGCCACATACCGCTCTCCTACCCCCTAAAGAATGACACATCAATTCAAGTGTCTCTCCCTAAACGTTAATGGCCTGAATAGCCCGTTCAAGAGACATTCGGCTATTAGAGAGATACATGACTCTAAAGCAGCAATAGTCTGCTTACAGGAAACTCACCTATGCACACACCACCCTCCGACTTTTCAACCAACCTGTTACCCCCAAACTTTCCATGCACTCTCACCACACAAATCCAAAGGCGTCTCTATATTGTTCCAACAAGACTGTGTTTTTCAACAGACAGGGATATATCAGGACAAATTGGGAAGGTTATTAATATTGGTGGGTACGCTGAATGGCATCGCAGTCACAGTGGCCTCGTTGTATGCCCCAAACGAAGCCCAGGCCTCCTTTTTAAAATCCGCACTCAACAAAGTGGCAACTCTTAGGCAAGGGCACACTATTATCTGTGGGGACTTCAATTGCACACTGGATCCCAACCTGGACATACAGAGGGCCCAAGGAAAAAGACCACTACATCAAGCCACGTCACTAAGCCGTAAACTCGCCACACTCCTCCACACACACAATCTTTATGATACATGGCGTAGCTTATATCCTAGCGGGAGGGACTATACTTATTTCTCACCAGTTCACCATACGTACTCACGCATTGATTTATGCTTGGTCAACGCTATAACACTACAAAATGTAGCGCATGTGAGGATTGGGAATAGGACATGGTCAGACCATGCCCCGGTCACCACCACGTTCAAAACTCTATACCCTGTTAGAGGTAGAAGCATGTGGAGACTAAACGACTCCCTACTAAACAAGGCTGACCTACTTATAAAACTAGTTAATACGATTACACTGTTCTACCAAGACCATACAAATGATGAGACCTCTATCCCTACACAATGGCTAGCCCTCAAAGCGGTGCTTAGAGGCCTCTTTATACAAGCAGGAGCAAACCGTAAAAGGAAGAGCAATCAAAACAAGGAGCGCCTGCTAGAGGAACTTGCACAGATTGAGGATAAAAACAAACTTAACCCATCCAACAAACTGACTAAACAAATTAACAAAATAAACTCGGAGCTACATGCATTGGCCCTAACAACTATGGAAAGGCAAATGCGTAAACTCAACTTAATTCATTACATGCAAGGTAATAAGGCAGGCAAATCACTGGCACGTCGCCTGAAAACACGTCACCTGCAGTCTAAACTACCATACATGACCTCAGCCACCAAACATAAGCTATACAACCCCCAAGATATAGTGGAGGAACTAGCCTCTTATTATGACAAGCTATACAATCTACATAGAACGAACGATACACACCAGCCATCCAAGGACGAAATCCTAGACTTTCTAAGCAGTGTAGACCTACCCCTCCTCACAGACGCTCAAAAAACATACCTTCAAACACCATTCACGGAGGAAGAAGTGCATAAGACCATTAGCTTATTGCCCAAACGTAAGGCACCAGGCCCAGACGGATTCCCGAACTCCCTTTACACGACGTTTAACACACAACTAACACCACACCTTACCAAGCTGTTTAACCACATCAAAGACACTGGGAATATCCCGTCCGAAATGCTCCTTGCACATGTGATAACACTCCCGAAACCCGGGAAACCCCCAACGGAATGCGCTAATCTAAGACCAATCTCTTTATTAAATGCTGACACCAAACTGTACGCAAAGCTCTTAGCCACCCGCATTAAGCCGCTGCTCCTAGATATGATCTCACAAGAACAAGCTGGGTTTGTCCCTACAAGACAACCAGGAGATAACACACGCCATTTCCTAAACCTAATCCAATGGGCACAAAAAAACCAACAACAGGGCATACTACTAGCACTCGATGCTGAAAAGGCATTTGATCGCCTAAATTGGTCTTATATGACAGCAGTGTTGACCAGAATGGGGTTTCCCCCCTCATTCCAAAAGAGCGTAATGGCCCTGTACTCTAACCCTTCGGCCAAGGTATATAACACCGGCTTTCTCTCCAAGCCCTTCCAAATAACCAATGGCACCAGGCAAGGCTGCCCTCTCTCTCCGCTGATATTCATCCTCTGCCTGGAGCCACTGGTTAAACATATCAAATCACTAGACACGATTCAGGGACTACACACACCAATAGGAACTATGAAAATCGCTCTATTTGCGGATGACATCCTGCTATTCATTACTGATCCCTCCAGATCCCTCCCCAATCTCTTGGCACTTTTGGACAGATATGGCAAGGTGTCATATTATAAGAATAATGCGAAAAAATCACAAGCATTAGCAATCCGCATACCAAACCACACACTACAAACCCTCAAATCTAAATACCCATTCGATTGGCGTAAAACTTCGATTTCGTACCTAGGTATTCAATTGCCTTCCACACCCACATTAGTCACTAAAGTGAATCATATCCCGCTTCTGCAGAAACTAGATCTTCAACTCAAACAATGGGACGATAAAGGAACCTCGTGGCTGGGGCGCATTAATACTGTTAAGATGATGATTATGCCACACATCTTATACCTCTTTCGTACACTGCCGATAGCGATCCCTAACGCGATAGTGAAAAGATTCCAATCAATCATAAATGCACATATTTGGAAGAGAAAACCTCCCCGAGTCTCACATAAATTGATTTGGAGACCCCTTTCGGAAGGAGGCCTTAGTGTGCCCAACGTTCAGCTATATTACAAAGCATCAATACTAGCACAGGGCCTCACGATACTGGAAGGCATGGCAACCCCCATCTGGCTGGCATTAGAAAATGCCTGCATGACAAAAGGAACGGTGGAGGATGCCCTTTGGGCATGCTCGGACAGGCAGCTACAGGTCGCCAATACCCTACCCCCGACGAAACTGCTGCTCCGTATATGGAGACAGTTGACCCTAAGATTGGATATAGGTAGAGACCTCCTCCACGCCGCGCCCTTGCAATCACTAACACTCCACACATATGATCTATGCCTTGACACCTGGGTACGACAGGGCATTCTCAATGTGAGCTCCTTGATCGATGATGCGGGAGTGATATCCTTCCCAATACTACAACAGACATTCACTCTCCCGTCTAGGGAACTATTCACATACCTACGCATTAAAAACATCCTACATGTTCACAAACTACATAGAGACAGAAAATTCCCACCACCACGATTTCTCCTTAAGTGTCAAGGAAAACTAAAAGGCATTAAAGCATTGTCTTTCTGTTACACCTCTCTCATGAATCTAGCGAACAAGGAAATTCCCTCATATATGAGCTCCTGGGAGAAGGATCTCCAAACACAAATTAGCCAAGATACATGGCAGAAGGCTCTGGGTAGGATAAGGAAAACCACATACAGCCTGGCCCACAGGGAGGCGTTTTGTAAAATACTAATGAGATGGTACATGGTACCTTCACGCCTAGGGCATATTTACCCTAACACGTCCCCCATGTGCTGGAGATGCCAAAACACCGTAGGCACACTACTTCATGTATTCTGGACATGCCCGAAAATAGCCATATTCTGGGACGCAATTGAACAGTTCCTCTTGGAAGAGATGAAAATAATAGTACCGAAATCCCCAGAATGCTACCTACTTCACATCTTCCCTCATTCACCCAGGGAAGACGAACTACACATACTCACTCACTGTCTACTTGCTGCCAAAACTGCGATAGCACACAGATGGAAACAACAGCAAAGCCCAAATTTAACAGAAGTCCTAACACGCCTCGACACTACATGCAACTTTGAACGAATGGCCAGCCGCCTTCGAAGCAAGGAACATATCTATACCAGGCATTGGCAGCGCTGGGCCCAGTTTAGAGACCAACCAGGGATCTAGAGACCAACCCCAGTACCCCTTTAGGGCCTCGATGAAACTACACCACATCGCAGTAACCCATGTTCACCTACACAACCTCACTCAACTGTCTACCCATGAGTGCAGGAGTCAACTTTAAAAAGCAAGCCAGATAAAGAGGTAACTAGTAGCCTAGGTACATAGACGGTAAATAAAATACCCCATAGAAGTAGCCAGACTGGGAATCTATCAGGCTTTGTTAACAAACCGTATTAAATATGGTTAGGGTATTTGTTTGGCTTTAGCTCTTTAGGCCAGCAAACACACCCCTACCTAACAATTGACATTGGCAGTGCATGTCGATATGGAATAAAGTTTTCCAAAGCCTCAACCATCATGACCTAGGCACCACTCGAAGGATCCCCTAACTAACCTATGCTGCCTATCCCCTACGCTACTATACTTGCAATAATTGTATCTCATGTGTGCATTTGTACTTTGAATTTTGTACTCTGAAGGTGTACTTTGAATTTGAACTGTAATATCTGACCTGCGTTGTCAAGTAACCTGTATGGATCTATATATTACCCGCATCCCCTTCCTTTTTGTTTTCTGTACCCTCCCATCCCCCCTTGTGTTTTTCTGATCTGATGATTGTGATAAGAAAACGAAAAAACAACTCAATAAAAATTTAAGACATTGAAAAAAAAAAGAAAATAAACTGAAGCAAAACACAGACAAAAGTTATTCAGGCAAATTATTGCAGAGGGCGGTTGTTTCCTGCTCATCCAAATAAATGTCTTCTCTGCCTTGGCACACACACACACACGGATACACGCAGACACACACACACACCCTCCATAAATTGCTAGTGGGCGAACAGTGATTGCACATTCAGAAAGCTTATTCCTCCCCTTGTTGGCTCAATATTGGATTATATAAGTACAATGGGTCCATACCTGTGCTGGTGTCAATGTTACAGTGCCTATCTCAGATAATGCAGGTAACAGCTGCTCTTGGTGCAGGGTTTGCAGGTAGGCATATCCAAAAGCTGGCAATAGAGGTGACAAATCAGCAAGTGACTGCCAACTGAGAGACAAGGCCTCCCGCCACGGCACGTCACCAGACAAGAAGTCCAGCATCTGCAGAAATGAAAGAAAATCAGTAATGGAAACAAACATTCCAGAACCACAACTACTGACATATTCTCTATGTTTTATTCTCCATCATTCCCCATTTTAATGCCAAAATCATTCTCTAGTCTTTATCTTTCTTACAAACTCACTTACTGTGCTTATATCTCTTCTATTTATTTTTTGCAATCGATTGATCAATCAATCAATCAATCAATCATTGTCTTCCCCAAAACTTCAACAATCCTATTATCTCTAGTGACAGTTTGTATTCTCCATGGAGACCTAATATTCACCTAGTCCTATGGCAGTATTCAAACAGTCAGCCCATTTAGGCTCTTGTCCTTTAAATTCCTTGCATGGAATCAAGCTAAGTTGCTGGAAAAGTTGTTTTAAATGTTGCTTGGTGTAACCATCTAGCAACATCCTGGAATACAATCCAGGCTAGAAATTTCCTCTATAATGACAACACATTAAAAATATGTGCAGTTCACTGTAGTGTCTTGGCACCATTCCCTAATATAATGCCAACTATTTTGGGATGATGTAATATAAACTGTGTCTCTTCCCTGATTACATCAGACTGTTTCTAAATGAATCGACTTTAAATCAGGGGACATTATCAATACATTCTGACAATACCAGAGGTGGATTTAAACCTACAGCAGCACTGGGCGATTGTATGCTAAACAAATATTTATACAGGCTTAGAAGGAAGTATAGCTTCTTCTTCTGATAGCTTAAGCAAATATTACAAATCAATGCTGTTAGAATGAATTGTGCACAATGGGACATAAGCTGTTATGATGATTTGATTGTCCCTTTAAGAGAGAAGATGCAGCATCATTATCTTTAGTAATCATGACCAGGACCAGTCCACCTAACATATGCTCCTTAATTTCTTTTCCGTGATAATGTTTCCTGGTCTCCTACAATTGCGTATAATTGCTGCTCTTTGAAGCCCTGCTCCATGTCTCCTCTCTACTCGCACCACTGCACCGCTATTCTTTCAAACTGTACCTTGGCATTTGGATAAAGGTCACCACTTTTCACACACTGTAAGAGATTTCTTTTCAGCACCGAGAAGGTCTCCAAATCCCAGTTGTGCTGTGTGAGGTCCTGCACATTAGCCTGACACACACAAGCTCCCATTCTGAGAATAAAGAATTTCCATGTCACCTCAGCGTCACATAGCAACAAACAGCAAGGCTAAGGTGAAGCATGTCATTGTGTCACCCTGTTTGATTCAAAGATCCCACTTACAACTCCAGATCCTTCGCTGTTATATTTGACTCCTGAAGCACTCTGTTGGCAACAACCCTTTGATAGGATGGAGATAAATCCACAGGGAGTGAGGGGAGAATAAGCATGACCTGATACAAAGTAAATGCAAATAGGGAATTAGAAAAATACATAGGAAGAATTTTGAAAACAAAACAATGGCGTGATCCAGGTATAGGAAGATCAAGGACAAATGTAGAGAAAGAAAGGACCCTAACAAAGAAAGAGGGAACTAAGTAGTCATACACCAATATCATTAAGGGACACTGCAGGCACCTTGACCACTTAAGCTCATTAAAGTGATCTGGGTGCAGTGTCTCTTTTGCACTTAGTGCTGCAATGTTAAACAGAGCAGTTTCAGAGAAACTACAATGTTTACATTGCAGCTCTAAGACTTTTGGTCCGATATCTGACGCTGGACCTCCTCATGCTATGCATGAGGACCTCCAGCGTCAGATTTAGAGGTATAAGGCCAGCGTGGCATTTCCCACGCATGCACAATAGCGCCCGCTCATCATGGGCATTCAAAGGAGGAGTCGTGACCCAGTGCCAAAGGACATCAGCTCTGGGACCAGGTAAGTAAATAAAAGCTTTTTATCCCTTTATTTACCCAAGCAAGGACAGAGCTAGAATGGTGAAGAAAGAGAGAAAAGCAGGGATGGAAGCAATAAAGAGAAGAATACATGGGCTGGTGATAGAAACGTAGTCAGAACAGGGATATGTCAGATACCAGGATTACAGGGTGAAATGCTGATAAGCATGGGATTTCATAGAGAGAAAAACAGAAGGTAAGATGGTATTAGCATTGTTAGTGAGTGTTAGAATGTACGTACAAACAGTACAGCTATCTCTACAGCTAGATCAGGAATGCTAAACTCAAAATTCCACAGTCTTTAGGATTATGTCAATCTACATTCAATTAAAGAATTGTCGTTGTGTGTCACCTAGCATTGTGCTGTGTAATAGTTATAGAACACTTTGTGCCTGTGGCCTTAGGCCCTGAAGTCACACTGTTTTACTTTCTATATACCAACATACACACTTTATACATTTTAACACGAGTCACCTAGCTGAACTTCCTTACTGAACAGATATAAACTCAGTAAATATGCACATATCAGAAATATACCTCTCGCTGTGACCCTCTCAGTCTTTCAACAAATGTCCATTCTCATCACCACTGTGCTCTGCACCAAACATGCACTCACTATTACCTGCCATGTGCTCAGCTGCTGGAACACAGTAAGTGGGAGCAGTGGAAGGAGGTCTCCAACCTTTTGTATGAATGAATCTGAAAGGTTGGAGATGTTACTAAACACATGAGATCTACGTAGCCATATACCGAGAGCCAGCCTGTGATCAACGGAGAAGAAGCCAGACACACTTCCAATGGCCTGGAGACTAAACACAAGAGAGATTGGGAATCCTAAATTAGCATTAGCATAGGGCAGGGGTAGGCAACCTTTGGCACTCCAAATATTGTGGACTACATCTCCCATAATGCTTTCGCAGCCATAATGCTGTAGTCCACAACATGTAGAGTGCCGAAGGTTGCCTACCCCGGCACAAGACATGGCTAAAACAGAGCATGGTCTGAGTCAGAAAAGAAAATGGAAGATCTGTGCAAAACAACATTATACATGATATATTAACAGCAAATGGCAATCAAATCATTATTATGGATTACATAAAATAAATGTGGTAAATGTAATAAGCCAAGTATTACATGTCTTGAGGTGGAATCCAGCTGTGCTATATATTGTGTGTATGTCTGTATCAGTGTGATAGTGAACATGGAGCGTTATGCTCACATACAGAACACGCTGGCTGCTTGTCATGTCCTAATTGAAATACAAGATTTCTACATTACAATGTCACATTTACACATGTTGGAAAGTATGACTGTAGCTAGACGCACTTCCAATATTAATCAACGAGTTTAAGAGAGAGGGAGAGGACTGAATGTAGTATAGACACACATACACCTCCTTGTCGTCTTGCATGGGGGGGAGGTGTCTGATCATCTCAATGGGATCCAGGTAACTTAAAACTGGAACAAGATCAGCGAAGAGTTCAGGATTAGCCGTTACCTGAGCCTTTAGCATTGTTGACACCAAAGATGACAAATATTCATCAGGTACCTGCGGGGAAGAACAGAGTGAGGTTGAGAATTAGGAGTCAAAAAAACTAAAACTGAGAGAGTTCAAAGCAAGAAGTGGTAACAGCAGGAGTGAGAATAGGCACAAGAGGGAAAATGTAACATTTCAATTAAATGCCAAACAGATTTGAAGTCAAGAACTCTGAGAGGAACACACTGATAGTGTGTTGAAATCCTCTGCTGAAGAGAGCCCTCTTCAGCAGAACCTAGAATTATCTAAGAAGGAGCTTGAGATACCACACTGTATTGAAGCAATTTAACTCAATGTACAAGGCTTTGAGCAGAAAAGGACAATCAGTGTCTCTTTCTCCTGCAAATCATATGTTCCATGATAACACATTTACAGCATATAAGTATTTTATGTTGAACCAGGTACCTTAAAGATTGTCCAGTTCTGGACCAAGATGTTGAGGAAGCTCTTGGCAGCCTCAGGGCTGAGTCTGGAAATGGAAATGGTCATGTTTGATAGAGGCAGTGTGAAAAATTCCTGAAACATTAGAAAAACATTAGAAAAAGAGTGATATCAGATGGCAGGGTAACATGATGCATTACATTCTCAGTATTACATTTTTACCTGAATGAGCAGCCAGGAATCCAGTGAAGCTTGCTCCCCTGCAATCTGCAGTAGGGTAGTCTGTAAAGAAATACTTACAGATTAAGTGGGATCAATATCTACATTCAAATCTCTACATATGTCAGGTTTGGATCGTTATGGCTTTTCACTGTCATAAATCTCAGGCAATCAACATGGGTTCTCAGACTTGGTTGAAAGCAGATGCCCGGGATTTATAAAGACTATGTCCATTCTTAGTATATAGAGTATAACGCTTGTACAGCTTCCCCGTGATATGCCTTGAGCTTCTTTTGTGGTATATACATTCAATACATGCTTTTTGTGAATCCCTGACAATAGAAGATATGGACTTCACAGGGCTTACTTGCAATAATCATCCCATTTGTTTACTGCTCAGAAGAATAAAAGCCCAGTTACATATAAAAGTATATGAAATTTGCATGGTTCAGTCCATCTGAATCTCATACAATGGTCACAGGTCTATGTTTAGTTCAACAAATGGAACTAATAAAGTATGAGGCTCTTGAAATATTGTATGAAGTGCCAAAAGTATTTCCAGTACCAATAATAGAGTTATTTATATACCAAAGTGAGATATAAAAGTGAATGTCAAATTTAATGTGAAAATAGCCAAAATGGAAACATTCTTTAAGTCAGCTACGATTTCAGTTTGGCAACTCTTGCCTTATATTTAAAATTCACTTTGAAATCACATGGAATTTTCACTTCAGTAAATAACCTTGTATGGATTTTCTTTGCAAATTTATGGACACACCGTGTCCATACCATTAAATACCAAGAGAAAAAAATAAAATAACAAATAAAGTGACGTACTTAAAATATGTATGGAGTGCAAATTTGTGCATTTTCAAATATATACAATATAAATATCTGAAACTATACACATATGCACATCACTTTATTTATTATTATATTTTTTTATGTTTGATTGCACTCAGATGGTTAAAACACATAAGATGATGATGACCTTGTACACTTATATCAGATAGATGAATGAAACTGGAAAACATAAGTCTTGAAGTTTTAGATTCCCTGTTATGTGCCGGGATTATTATTGTCAAGTAGGTTTTAATTGGTGTGTGCCAGGTTGCCTGGGAAACTTCTAACCTGTCAAGCACCAAAAAAAAACACCCTGATGGATTGGGAGATTCACTGTGGTTTTTTTTTTTACTAAGTCAAAAATATTGTTTGTTGCTCGGCTGAGCCTAGATTGCCTTTTTCTCATCTCTGGAAAAAGTCAGAAAGTAGCCCAGCCAATCTTGGGTATTTAGAGGGAAATATCCAATCATTCACAACACTTATTGTTTAAGACACCTTCAAGTGGATTTTAGCCCTTCCAGATTACTACCCAATGTAACAATGTACTTGTGGATTTTCTTGTTGGTTAGTTGCAAATTAATTAAAATAAAATGAATTAATTTGCACTTGACACTTTATATATTTAAAGAATGTATATAAGAACATTTTAGACAATCTGAATGCCAAACGTATGGAGAAGGATATGTAATTAGCACAATTCCTGGGGAGAAAGAAAGAGCTCCAATATACCCCAAAATTTAAATAAATAAAAATGCAGCAAGAGGATTCATATTAAAATGGTTGCAGACCTGCATTTTTTTTTTCAACCTTTAACTCACGTCCTATGTGGTGAAGGAATTTGAAAAGACTATGGGAGATATACTGAAAGTATTCTGAAAAGTGACAGTTAAACTCTGCCATTATTTTATTGTATTTACTAAAAAAGGTGTTTACTAAAATTGACTAAAGTGACTTATAATGTATATTTTTTGATGATTGTATAGTTTTCACAGAAATGTTTATATGAGAAGACCACTACATTCAGAGTGGCTTTAAAATAGAGACATAAAACATTTTTTTTGTCGTAAAACGTGGCATTGCATCACAGAAAAAAAAAGGTACGTGATAAAAATTGTCGTTAAGGGTTAAAAAAGCAAAAATGTACAAATAAATCTGACAGATAAACAAAACTGCACCAAAAAAAAACAACAAAATGTAGACATGAAGTTGTCAGCTACACTTTGATAAATATCCCCTACATCTCTGGGTTATTCCAGGTTAATACTGCTGATCACAGTTTGTTTTACTATTTTGCAATGTCTGCTTATGAGTCCAGTGAGCAAATAATGCAGGTTTCTGTAGGTTCACCAGTCAATGTGCCTCCTACTAGAACAGAGTAAATCAGGTGCACATATTAAAATTATTACTAGTAATATGATGAATGTAGTTTTACGAAAGCTCTGTTCCTTCTTTGCTGGAAATGTATTTCATAGTTACCAGTGCTTGCATTCTAGCTAATTAATTTTTAATTCCGATGAATATACATCTGACACTTTAAACAAACAAGTCAGTTACAGGTATCAAAGCTGCTTCTAACATTACTGCCCTTTTTTTCCCTGTTTTTTTGTATTTTGTTTTTTGCCCATAAAATTTTCTTTGTGGGTCCTAAGAACTAACATTTATCAGGGGGTCTTAGAAATAACACTGTAGATAAAAAATAATTCACAGACTATGAACATACCCCATACGTCTGTAGAAGCTCTGTCTTCTGATCATTTCCAAAATGTTGAAGGCGTAGGAGATTATTTATAACACTCAAAGTATTTGTCCTCAGCATCTCGGGCCTGGAGATGTTCACCATTCCCATCTCTTCTAGCAGAAGAAGAAAAATAACGCTGAGGTCTACAGACTTTGTATATAGCATTGAGGCACTAGGAATGTCCAGAGAGTGGCCTGCATTCTGTAGAGAACACAGACTGAGCTGGAGGCAATTTAAAATGGTAAGACCTTGTCCAGGACACACTGTGCTGAGATTAGCATCACATTGCCATTGTAACTGTGTTTTGTCTGCTTCCGATAAACATGGCATTGTGTCATTAATTGAAGAATTAAGTGAGCAAATCTCCACAACCCATGCAGTGGTAGGATCATTAGAAAGCTTATATATCAGGTTCAACTGTGCACATACATAGGTAGTAAAATTAACTCTATCAAAGATCCAGCACATGATAATGTTATCAGCATCTATGGTTCCAGTCCACCAACTGGAGTAGTTGCATACAATATCTTGATCCCACCATAATCCACCAGAATGATTGCAGGTACCATTATCCTGGCTGCTGCAAATGCTGTGTTGATAGCTATCTTGGTTATAGGTTTGACAAAATGCTAACATGGGAGATGGAACTGCATCCAGTGATGGCCATTCTTCATATCTGCACACCACTTTCACCAGCTCCTCTATATTGTCTCCATCTACCCCACACACAATAATGAGCCAGGAGTTTTTAGGATCTTGTAGTAATAATGCCATGAGATCTGACTGTTCACAAACTCCTGATAAAAATGTCAGTTGATCAGAAATCCAGCAAAACTTCACTACAATTGGGTGAACGTACGTTCCCTGCCAACTTTGGTAAGAGCATGGTTTGTGTCCTGACACACAAAAAGAACTGAGTATGGTACTGTTTTGTTGCGTAAAATCGGAAGTATGATTGCAGAAGATGTTATTTAGGGTCTGAAGGTCGTTAATAGCACAAAACCTTAACAAAGAAATGTCCACTTGAGATGGATCCCATTTCTCATATTGACACTGGATCATTGAGTAATTCTGGCCAACAGAGGGAAGGGAGGGTAGGCAAACCAATTCTATCCATACATATTTGGGGTGTGTTTTAATAAGATGATGAAAAGAGGAATCAGCACAAACATTACTGAAGAAATTTGCTTGGTCATACTGCCAACAGAGAAGTAAAGCAAAGTCAGGGACATGTGAGTAATTGCAGACATTCCATGTGAGAACTTGAGATAAGACTATAGAGCTAGATACATTGTAACAAAAGCTAAGTGTCCAAGTGATAGCTGAAACATTATGGATCTCACGCAGAATCCATGGATTATTGCACACAGCTGCCAAAAAATTTATTGAATCTTCTTTAATACAGAAAATCACCGTGGACACATTAACAGGGCCTAACCACATCTGTCCTCCATGGCTCCATTCTGCATATCTACATTTTGTGTCTGAGTGGCAAGTTAATGGAATCTGACTCAATGTTGAGTCTGTTGAAATTTCCTGGTAAATGTCTTGTTTATTGCAAAAATAATCAGCAAGGTTTAACGAGTCGAAGGTCCAACAATATGACATTAAGAACAGGGAGGGACGTGTTGAACCCCATGATGAATACTTGCAGATTATATTTACAATTAACCGGGTCAAGTATTTAGTATCATTAGAGAGACTTTGGACAAGATTAAAGTCACTACAGATGGAAAGGACCACTGTGTCTTGGCCAGTTTTGCTACAATTTGGACAGGAGGAAGAAAGAAAACGTGACGTCCACCCTGAACAGTTGTTAGAGATATCAAGGTTGTTGTTCCCTGCCGAGCAGAAAGTGAAGATCCAGCTGTTCTCAATGTTATTGATTAGTTGTGACATGAATGTGGAATTATTACAGACAAATTGCTGAAAACTGCAAGCATCCTGGACAGCACAGTACAGTAATACAGGAACGCTAGAAGCAGCTATATCCCCTAAACTGCTATTGCTGCAGAACGGTGCTTTAGTAGTATTTGTGGTGCAGTTCAAATTTGATGGGATACTATAATTCTCCATCTGGAGAATAATATTATTGCTGCAGAGATATGACTTTAGTTGCTCCTGATCAAAGAACCAGCATAGATCCACAGTTTCTTGGTTAGGTATAGCTAGGTGCCATGCAGTGTAGTTGCAAATGCCCTTGGACAAGGCCAGCTGGCCAGCACAGAATTCTCTTACCCACCTGTTCTCTGTGTTCTTAGTCACTATGAGTAGCAGGCTGATATTTTTGCACACAGAGGCAGTAAACTGTTCTTCATCTATATGACTGCAGTTTAGAACTATGGATGGAGTCACCTTACTGGTCAATACCAAATAATCCATGTCAGATACCTCAAGCCAGGTTGGGTAATTGCAGTTCTTTATAACGGCCATAGCTTCAGAACTGACACTGTCACAGAGTATAGCAATCCAGGAGTTGGACTCAGAGTTTAACAGTTGCCGCAAGTTATCAGAAGACTGGCATGCAAAGTTTGTGAAGTCTCCCAAGTCATTTTCGGCACAGAAGGCCAACGATGAAGGGACAACTAGGTTAAGCTGCCACTGTCCATAATTGCAGAGCTGCTCTAAAATAGAAGGGGTAATTTGGGTGACTGTGGGTTCAATTTCACACATTGGGTCAAGCCACTGATTATCAGGATTCTGCATTAACTGCTCCAAGAAAATTATATTTGAACAAAGAAATTGTACAAGTTGATCCTGGTCGTGCAGCCAGCAATATGCAACTGAAACGGCCGAGACAGGCCTGTTTATCCAGGAAGTATAGTGGCATATGCTATCTGGGTTAGTATTGTATTCACAGAACCCCATTAGCCAGTTATTTTCTGCCTGAGAGGACAATCGAGTTAAGAGCGCCTGGTTTTCACAGACAGACTGGATAAACCCATCCTTGTCACTCTCGCTGCAGGTGGATACATCGTTAGCAGATACCTCACTAGAATTGGTCCACATTGTGTAATCACAGCTTACGGCCAGTGACCTTATGGGACGCATACGAACAGTTCCTCCATTAGGGACATTACATGGGTCGGCTAGAAGATCAAAAAGTAGAGAAGAGAGAGATCCACAGACTTGACTGTCCATCTCAGTGGTCTGATAAGTAGAAGTGAGACTGAAGTATGCTACAGAGCTCTACAAGCTTTCCTGAATGCAGGGAGCAACCGATCAACACATGACTGGAGAAACACAAAACGGTCAGGTTTGAGGGAAACACCAAGAACCTGAGATTGCTGCAATGGATGTCCGACCAGGAGCAAGTTCAGGAAATCCCAGTTCAAATTGTGCGAAACTCCCCTAAAATGAGACATGAGGCAAATATTAATGCATGGTTTAAAACTGCAAGATCTACACTACAAGACAATCCTAAAAGTTACTCACCACCGCCAGTCTAAAGAGCTCATGACACATGCACCAGCTGTGAATGCCTACTCACCAGGGCTACATTTTTCACTTGCCAAAGGCTAGTAGCAAGTGGAAATTTTGAGCCATGCTCCCTCCAATGAAAGTGCAAGGTAAACAGCAAATATGGAGCCAAAAGGCTTAGCATATCCTCTACTGTGCCCAGAAGGACTAACTATAGGGACAGTTTACATGGTATAATAGAAGGTTTAGCAATGTGATTAGGCATTATGCATTGCAATAGCACTGGTGTACACAAAGAATTTCAGTTCTTTTATATAGGCTCAGCTCAAAATACTTACCATAAAAGAAGATGCTTTAGATCCCCTAATTGGAGAGAAACGTAAGATGTTAGAGACCAGTTATTGTAGAGTGTTACTCGCTTAAACCCAAACTTGCTCATTAAATATCTTTCAAATTCTGGTCACTTTACATAGTTTCAATGCTTGTATGATCAAACATCAAATGTAATTACAACCAGTACAGATCTTGATTTCTCATCATAATGTGCATTTCTAACCACAACTTTCTTAAAATTCATTACAGACATTTAATCCAGCTATGCACGGCTTACTGCACTGTCTATCTGGTGCACTCCCATATTCATCTTCTCTCCCTCTCTAGATACTATGAGCAGTATGATTATTATTGCTAAATGAATAGTATTTTTTTTCATAGACATCAGTAAGAGAGCTGCCATTCAGTTATCATATTATTCAACCTTTCAATGCGCATCTTCAGATATATCTCACAGGCTCAGCTTACCTTGGGTGCCACCTGCTGGTATAACATCGTTTAGAACACTTAGGAGCCAGTTTCTGTAGTCAACGTCGAACAGTAGCTGGGACAAAGAGCTAATAAGCTGTCTCCATCTGCCTAGACCTCTCCACGGAACGTATGGTTTAGTAGTTCCAGAACATAGGGGGTCTATCCCTCCAATGATTTGCACCAAGTCTTGAGCATGACGAGGAGGCCACATCGGCTTTAAGTAAGTCACTGGTGGAGCTGTAGAGGAAGACTCAGAATAGCTGAAAGAAACTAAAAAAAAGGAAATAGGTAATTTGCATAATCACTAATAACTCTGTAATTGTAGTTAAGGGGGAATTGTCAGTAAATACCTGTTAAAAGTTCAATGAGAAGGAGGAATGAAACCATCTCCATCTGAACAGGAGAAACCAAGGGCCTGTTTACAAGCCAGATATTATATATCCCACTGGAAGAGAAAGATGAAAATGGTTAGTACTGCACTATGTTAAATATCTTTCTAATATAATCCTGGTAGTATTTTCCTTCTGCATTATTCATATTCAGGTTTATTATGAAGATTTTCTAATTCTGTTGATTTGGAGATACATTTCCAACTTTGAAATTTTGGAACCAATGCTACCCATGAACAAATGTTGCGGTTAGCTCACTATAACTGACTGACCCCTAAAAAAGGAAAAAAAAAACTAGGTTTCTGAATTTATAGAGGATGTATCACCTATGGGATGCTGAGCGTTACATTTAAATTAACCCCAGAGGAGTGCAGTGGAGGTTATATAACACAGCACTTCTGGGCACTGCCCCAACCATCTTCCCACAAAGTAGTGGACATATGCATATACGCATGCATCTTCATCATTAATGTCATATGTGTGCATGTATGTCACATGGTCACATTAATGTCATATGTGTGCACATGTTGCGAGTCTGTGCACACAGCATCAAGGTAATTATTGTCATATTCATCATATGCAAGTCTGTGCCTTGACAGGCTGTGATATAAATGGTTATTTACTTAAGTGAGAATTCAAAGGGAATTTAAAATTTAAGGTCAAATTAGCCAAACTGGAAATATTCTCTAAGTTAGTTATGCTTTTAGTACAGCTACTCTGGCCTTACATTTGAACTTCCCTTTGAATTGTAACTTTAGTGAATAGTCCTGATAATTTGCAAACAATAAATCTTATACATGTCTTTGATAATTATGTACAGTAAAAGGCATATAGGTCAGAGCTGGATTACCCATATACTCATATACAACATTCAGCCACCACACACGACACACAGCTGTCACAGGTTTAAAGAACAGAGGCCAGCGCTCCATGATGGGGCAATCTTTATCTGGCTTTGATATAGCTGTCCATATCTATATAACAGAAAACTAAAATTTGGCTACAGTTTTATTCTGGTGATTAAAGGAAAACGGTAATATTTTATTATCATTTAAAATAAATGATTACACGTAATATAGCCATACAGAGCATAAGTTTGCACTATATATGTAGAAGTTAATAACTATTTTTATTGCATCACCAGGTTTATCCTGTTGCAGCCATCGTCAGCCCTCTTTGATCAGAAGCAGCATTTATGTGCTACTGTGCACAGTTTCAAGGTCAGACCTATCAAAGATTGCTTATTGAGATGCCCTGCACTAGTGAATGAATTCAGGATTTGCGAATACACACCAGCTCTTTATTACTAGCTTTGTTGCTTTCGACTACAAAACTAAAGCCAGGATGTGCACTTAAAAGTGATATTCATTTATATGTAGGTATATCTTAAACATTAAGAAATAATTAATGTCCTCCTTTAATTTTCAAGGAGATTCCATTCACTAAACAGTAATCTGAAATCAAAACTGAAACATTTACATCAGAATCAATGAGTTGTAAGCGATATCCCCAAATTATTCCAAGACTGAATTTAAATCATTTAAAATATTTGAATAAGAGATCCAAGCACTATAACCACTTTGCACTACTACAATGTGGTGCTTAGAGAACCCTGAGGTTACTCTAATTTCTAAGATTTGAAAATATTGTTCCTTTTCTAAGAGTGTTCATCAAGATAATCGATCAGGCAGCTGGGAACAAGTTATATTTAGAGTTGCCGCTTAGTGATTTTGTCCATTTTTGGGTGCAGTGTGTGCACCCATCACATGTACAATAGGGAAGGCTCTGTCTTTTTGGTGGGCAGCTCTACTGATAACAAAACAGTATACTACCAGCTTCTAATACACTTTCAATAATCCTGATTGATGATTGGATGAGGATCTGCAGGTGGGTGATAAACTACTTCTACTATAACTCAGTTCTGTCTAGACCTGTAGATTGGCCCACTAAACTGTGTGGATCTTGCAATCTATCTTTTACATTTCTAAATTAATCTGTTGCATTAAGACAAGTCACCACTCACAATATATAGAGCTAACAATATAAGCACAATTGTTTCGCTTTTGGGGTCCGTTCAGGCGACCCTTTCCCTTCTTTACAGTTGGTGTCATAAGCGTTCTTGTTCTATATAAAATAGCAAGAAAGACACGTTATTGCACCATATGTGCCTTTCTTACTATTTTATAAAGAACAAGAACGCTTGGGACACCAACTGTAAAGAAGGGAAATGATCGCCTCAACGGACCCCAAAAGTGAAACAATTGAGCTTATATTGTTAGCTCTATATATTGTTAGTGGTGACTTGTTTTAATATTTTCAAATTATAAAATCTTGCACAGTCTGCACTATGATATGTTTTTTATATTTTAAAGGGACACCATACCTAAACTAGGACTCCAAAGTAGGGAACCATTTTAAGGTATATTGTCCCTATTTGTATATTCAACTACACAGTGTCTATATAAAGATAGTTACCAATTTAAACCACTGTAGCGTTTCGCCATTAGACCTTTTTTGGATTCTTGCATGAAAAGATAAGATTATGGTGTTTTAGCAGCTAGTTACGTAATTTTTCACAAACTGTGGTAATAAATTCTACTAGAATATTAGCGCTGGTACTTTACCTTTTGTATAATCTGTTGCATTGTTGATGCATTATCTGTAGAATACATTTAAAAACTGTCTTGATATAGACACTCCCTTTAATCTTGTTTTCTGTCATAAGATTTTTGCTAAGAAATAGACACAGCATGTTTTTGTCACTGAAAGCAAGCTTACAAGATAAAATGACTTTGCTGCTGAATTAACTATAACCACAGATAGATACTCAGGGGAGGTTCAGTTCCCCAGGATACAATACAGTGCCAAAGCTAGCCATCAATGGTACATGCTCTCATTTGGAAAAAACAAAAATAAAAATAATTCTTTGCTAAACAAACTAAAAACTAAGCTGCCGATTTAAGGCTAATATAACGGAGATTGTAAAATATTTCCAGTTAAGAAATGGTTCCAGATTGGCTATTTTGGCATTACATCTGCAGTTTTGTTTTCAATTCATTTCGGTTACCTATTTAGGAAACAAAATCTAAACTGGACTATTTCACCAGCATTCCATATATTCACACAGGATTCTTACATTATACATTTGGGAAACAGGAAAGATGTCTCAACCTTTTCATCTTTACATGTAAGAAACACATTTTTTAGGATTCCTTTAAATTAGGATGGCAAGTTACAATAAATTATTTTTGTTGCACCTGACCTACCGTATTGATACATATAATAATTATTGACGTAAATAAGTAAAATTTGCAGCACACACCTTGCAGTCAGCTTTCATCTGTGGATAACTCTGGAGGCTCTCGATCTTCACACCTGCCAGAACCTAGATAGTCACACTTACCAAGAAAAGCCCTGCTCTTAGCTGTAATAGATCCCTATCACTCCTGTTGTTAATAATGTAGAGCCTGCCTGGGAGATTGGACACCTGAAGGAGGAAATCCTGTATCATTAAGACCACAAGAATGGACAGATCATTTTACTAGTAACAAAATAGCCCAAGTACTAGGAAATAGAAGGCTCTGGTGAATGGGTTTATGGAACAAAACGATTTATACTAAAAAACACCAAATAAGAAACCAGCATAACTATAATCCATCCTATACATTTCAAGCGTGTGGGTGTCAGCGTGCCCCTTTAAAGGAGAGCAATGCCATAATATCACTACCCAAAACGCATGGTCTTACACTTAAAATATTTTCAGCTTTCCAAAAACTTCAGATTAAGGTTAAGAGATGCCAAGAGGTTTTCAAAATAAAATCAGCAGCTGAAAAGAAGTAGGCAGAGGGGTATTTAATTTATAAGTTTATAGTCACCCCACGGCACTAATACAGCTTTTAAACCTTTGATAGATTTTGGCCTCATTAATATGCTGCAATTTTTGCATGCTCAAAGCTTTATAGTTTTTGCATAAAATGTTTTGCAGAATGCTGCACCATAAGCCTGCCTTGTTATCTGCACCCACTCACTCCAGAAAAATACCAACAAAAAACTTCCTTATAAACCTATGCACCAAGCTCAGCCACAGAGTACTGAATGATCTGAACTACAAAGCAACCTGCATTAGGAGGAGGACACACTTAAGGAGACATATAGTAAGGATATCACTACCTGTTTGCAGTTCCTCTGTTACAGGAAAGGTTGAGAATTAACAGCAGCCCCCTCAGTGCTGTTGGGGCTAAGACTGGATGCATACATTTGATAGGAAGTCTTCCTGATATGATGGGGTGTGGCTACGAAGGCAAGCTTATGGTGCAGAAATCTCTGTAAAATATGTATTCTTCCACATAAGTCATTAGTTTTGTTTATTTTAAGGGGGGAAGATGGTAACAGATCATCATAAAATTACGAATGATTTCCACTATCATGGCAACACCAGATAGAGGGTAGAATATGGAATCTATATAAAAGAAAATAGGTAAGTCAGGAAACGGTTTAGACGGTCTTAGAATCAGTGGTGTATCCTGGTTTTGTGCTTTCCTAGGCAGGACAAAACTCAGGTGCCCCCTAAACCCCAGCCCCCCCACCATCGCGCGCGACCCCCACCCATCCCCCGCCTTCTAAATACACACACACATTCACTGACAGATACGCATACACTAGCTAACAGAAACACACACTCACTGACACACACAGACACACACACTCACTGGCAAACATACACACACACAAACACACTCACTGAAACACACACACACTCACAGGCAAGCACACAATCACTAACAGACACACACTAGCAGACACACACTCACTGACACACACACTCACAGGCAAACACACACACACCCTCACTAACAGATACACTCACTAACAGACACACACACTAACAGACACACACACACTAACAGACATACACACACTAACAGACACACTCACTAACAGACACACTAACAGACACACACACACACTAACAGACACACTCACTAACAGACACACACACACTAACAGACACCTCGCACAACAGACACACTCACACACACACACTAACAGACACACACACACTAACAGACAGCACACACACTAACATACACGCACTAACAGACACACTCACTAACAGACACACACACACACTAACAGACACACTCGCAACAGACACACACACTAACCACCAGACACACACTCACTGACACACACTCACAGGCAAACACACACACACACACCTCACTAACAGATACACTCCACTTCAACAGACACACATAACACACACACACTAACAGACATACACACACTAACAGAGATACACACACTAACAGAGATACACACACTAACAGACACACTCACTAACAGACACACTCACTAACAGACACACACTAACAGACACACACACTAACAGACACACACTCACTGACACACACTCACAGGCAAACACACACACACCCTCACTAACAGATACACTCACTAACAGACACACACACACTAACAGACATACACACACTAACACACACACT